ATGAAAGCCAAAATAGTTGGACAAATAATACGTGGGTTAAATTAATCTGCATGGAAAAGACATTTTGTAATTTAAACCTTTATTTTGTATGTTAAAACAAGGAAAGAAAGTGTACCCTAATGACTTTGGTGGCATACCGTACTGTAACGTAGCACAGCGTAACATACCGTACATAACATGGCGTAACGTAACGCACCGTACTGTACAGTAACGTACCATCACGTACTATAATGTAATACATCAACCACTTTATTTCTTAAACACGCAAAAATACAAAATAGCTGTTGACCAAAGTGCAGTACAACAAAAATATGTTTTTGTCTAATTTTTGAAACAGTGATACATGGATACTTCAGTCAAAAGAGTGATTATAATCCAGCTGTGAGGTGATAAATGCATGAATCAGAGTCTCAACCTGGTGTCTAGACAGGAGGAGCTTATTCATAAATTTGTGTTGCTGGATTTTTCATGCAGGGCCAAAGAAGGAAAGTTGAAGGAAGGGACACAGATGGAGCCACTGGATTTAAAACACATGACCTCAAACCTCTTTTTGGTAAAATTAAGAAAATTCAGTGTCATCCGTTCCTTGATAACACTAACACAGTCAAGGGGAAGCTGAACAGAACCACTGTGTTTAAAAGGAAAATAGATTTGACAATCATCCGTATATATGTGAAATGGTGTACAATGCTAGAAAATAGCACCAGGGTTTTCCCCAGTGGACTATAAGCTTGGCGGACCACCAGGCTTTACTTGCCTTCCCACCAGGCTGACGATCATTTGCTTAGCTTAAATAGTTTTTTTTTTTTTTTTTTTTTCAAAACACCAGTAACAGTGACAGTAAAGACTGATTAAGCTAGGCTTATAGTTAACTCATGAAATTGGGGAGCTTTTCCCTGCACCTGCTCTTTGGACTCACGTGCTATTGTTTCAAAATTATGATGCCTGTTTGTGCACATAAAAATTTTTGTAACTTTTAACATTTTTGGGCATAAAAACACGGTGGGCTGCTGGATAACTGCCCTAGTTCCCCTACTGCCAGGCTTAGCAGGTTTTCAGGGGGAAACTCTGAGCACCAAGTGGGATCAAATCAAGATAAAACACAAGAGAACCAAGAAAGGAGCCTTGCGGCACCCCAAAGGATGAATATGTAGTTGCTATGGTTCACATTGTCAAAAACAGCTATTAAATCTGCAAGCGTAAGTAAAGCACAGTTATCATAGTTCGTTGCTAAAAACATCTCATTAAAAACAATTAAAACTGCGGATTCAGTACTGTGGAAGAAATGAGGAAAGATTCCTTCAACAGGGGGTTTCATAGCAGCATGTTAAAAACAGTTCGGCACCACACTAAAAGTCAAGCTACTCTTAATAACATTAAGGATAATTGGCACATAAGAAGACATGGAAGAACACCATTACAGAGGGAGCCAGATGGTTTTATAACAATAACCAGCTTCCTTTTCATTTATTCAGAGATGAGATCAACTAATGAGTCTCCTCTGGGTTATACTTTTATTGGTTTCTATCCACATGATTCACATTTTATTCAAAGTCACTTTTTATCGTTCTTCACTAGAATTTTAAATGTAAAGGGAAGGCTAATTTATTAACCAGCCTAACTTGTGTATTAAAACTGAGTGGTTGTTGTTTTGGTTGTTGCAGTGTGGGAGCCTGCTGCAGACAGGAAGTGTGACCATCTTTTAGGTTTGAGGGTACAACAGAGCACACCTCTTCTTTTCTTTGACCTTTGTTAACTTGCATGTTGCCAGAATCACAACCCAGAAGTTGTTTTGAATTCATATGAGTGAACATGTTGTCACCTGGTGTGTCCAAGCAATCAGGATTCCAATAAAGGGTAAAAATGTAATGTTTTTCTATTTTACTGCAGAAGTCTCTTACATAAAAAAAGATTAGAAAAGGTGTTGGTTTGATGAATATGTTAACGGATGCAACAGATCACAAGGAGACAGCATTTAAAAGCAAGACAGAATGCATTGCCAACAAGAAGGGTAAGAACGAGTGATAAAAACCTCAATTTATGGCATTTAATATGACAACTACAGAGTTCATCCACCATTACTGTATTAAGTATCCTCATTCTATTATCATTATGTAAGAATGAAATGGGGAGACGTCCGACACAGATTTTGTAGTCACTTACCACACCATAACTCCAATCATTTCACATACTCAAATTTATTTCTGAAGGCTCGCAGCTGTGTGGGTTACCGCTGTTTCCATTTGTGATTTATGAATGAAAACAAGTAGATATGAGGCTGCTTAGATTTACAGGTTTTAGCAAAAAGAAAAAAAAGAATAAAAACCATGAAAGAGACTTTTAAATCATTTCGAAAAGCCCAGACAATGACGTCATGGCTCTGTAAGCCTCTCACTGGGTAGTTCGAATTCACAGGGACACCTGTGGATGTATCGAACAAACTCCTCCAGAGACATCGTTAAAAAATAACAGCAAATCAACCAAGATACCAGAGAAAAAGAATTGTGGAACCACATCTCACAACAATCAGCTGGAAAGTTACGGGTCTTCCAAAGCATACCAAAAGCTTAGCTATAAAGTACCTTGAAAACGGCGAAGTAAACATTTTGAAGTGCTCATTTTCAGAGTATTTGGTGGCCTGAACACTTGACCCAATTGTATGAGTTCTGCCAGGATTAATGGGTCAAAATTTCAACAAACTATTGTGAGAAGCTTCTGACCAGACTCCAAAAGGGCATATCCCAAGTCACACAGTTTAGAAGGTGATTACTAAAGGTATTAATAAAGGGTTTTTACCAAATACTAAGGTAATGTTATGTTATATCTAACCTTAAGCAAGATTCAATAGGTTTTTCGATCCTGACTGAACTTAGTTGGTTAAGGTTTTTCCCTTTATATACTACATCAAGTATTTTTATAAAGGAAAAAGGCAAGATTAGATCTGAAGTGGACCCCACCATACCATCTACAAAAATCAATCTGTCATCTTGGATTTAAATATGTTTTGGTCTTTGGTATCAGAAAAGATTATGATTGCGTTTTGCCTTGCTTGGGGATAGAGCGGGTTAATGTTGAGGAAAGCCTTGCTGAAAGGCATTAGGTATTAACTTTCCTCTCCTTTTGGGTAAACTTGACGGGTACATCAAATGCATGCTTTGGCACTGGAGTTTACATATCTGCGAAAGCTAAACAGAGTGGCATTGACTCAAGGTGTGGCGCTATATTTGTATCTGACCACGGCTACGGACGAGCACAAGTGCACGGACAAAGAGCGCGCGCACACACACAGGCACACACACACATGCGTGTAAATGCACACGCCTCGTACCGCCAAACAGCTGGGAGTGTTTGCAGTGTGAGGAGGCCGTTGGTTCTCCTCTCGGCCGTCTCACACAATGAGCCGTGCGCTGTCTGTGTTTGCACTGCGCCCAACTCAAACAGCGTCCCCTCGCCGTTCGAGCACGGCCCGAGGTTTGCTCTTTGTGAAGGCTCGCGCAAACCCGGGGCAAGGCTTGGCCTCGGGTTGCACTCGTGGGAGAAATGAATGGGCCAAGTTCGTTGAGAAATAACTTAGAATTTCAAAGATGCGCCGGAGTCCGTTTGACTTTCGCTGCCCCGACAAAAGGTTTCGACTCACCAATCAGGGTCACGGAGATAACGCGGCGTTTCACTCCCCAAGCAGCGGCACGATCACGAAGACAAACAGGCAGCCGAGAACAAGAAGCTGGTACATTTCGAGACTGCGCTCTGGCTCTGTTGAAAAGTGGTTAGTGAAAATGTGGAAAAACAATCAGCTCCAGACTTTTGTTACAACATGAAAAAAAAGACACTTTAATCCCACATTCTTTTATTATTGTCTTGGATTACATCATAAATTACTTGCATTCTGAAATGGCATTGAAGTTCGATCGGCCTAAAACAGAGCAGGCTTGCCTTTATTTATTCCAGAGTTTCATTATTTTGCTGATTAACCCACACATGTAAATCATTCAGGATGAGCGCATCGGCTTAAAGCAATTTTTTTTTCCTTCTTTTTCAAATGGTGTGGGTAATCACTGCCTGCTTAACCTTTGCAGTGCACTTCTCCTCGGTGCATAAATAATTTCAGTCGAAATGTCTTTTTGGAGTTTACTGTAAATGTGTAAATAAGTTAGAGGTGCAGGAAATCGAGAGATCTTTTATCTGCTACCTGTTCCTTTTCAAACAAATTGTGTAAAACTGCATGTCAGTTGACATAACTATTTGTCTTATTAATTTCTGTTTTTACTTTTTATTGTCTGTTGAATGAATAAATAATTAGTTATTTTTAAATTGTTAAATGGTTATTACAATGTGCACTTGGAGTTGTGATAAAAAAAAAAGTGAGAATTTTGGTGCACAAGTTTGAATTTATACTCTTACATTTTTTCTCAAGCATACGAGGTCAAAATTGGACAGACGGTGTAATTTTGTCCCTGTTCTTGATGGACTTGGTTTATTTTGGTTGACAGGCATCATGCACCGACCTGGCTTCCAGGTGAACCTGCACATTTTCAAGTGGGATGAGGTTCAGAGCACCACATTGTTTCCAAGCGTCGGTCATCAGATCCAAACTGTCGAAAAAAGCCACGATGATCGGTAATCAACATGTCAACGATTGGAGGTAGTTCTCAATTTTTGCGTCCACTTTCTTTGAGGAACCATTTTTACACACGGTCCCACAGCATAGTGCCACCATCGCCATGGATGACAGAAATCAGTTCCCTAATAATTGGTCTTTACCTTTCTTTGCAGCAACTGCTTTCCCTCTCTCAGAGTTACCAACACACACAATCATCTTTACGATTAACCAATCCCCTGGCTGATATTCAATTCAGTTTGCCTACATAGAGCCAAGTCACAACATACCATCTCAAAGCACTTTGCAAAAAAAAAATTGAATCTAGTAATCTTATTACACCTACATCCAATGCATCAAATTTGTTTTTTAAAAAAGTTTTCCATCTAAGGAAACCCAGCAGACTGCATGGAGCCACTGAATAGAGAGGTTCACTCCTCCTGGATGTGACCGTAGCGACAGGAGACGATCGCTGGCGTTGTGGTGTTGACTCTGCAGCAATCCTTCAAACTGAGCATGCATGCAGTGACAGCGGAAAGGAAAACTCCCCTTTAACAGGAAGCAACCTCTGGTAGGACAAGGTTCACAACGACATTTAGAAACTGCAACGTGACTTTTGGTGCAGTGGCTTCTTCCACTCTGAGTGACATTTCAACACATGTTGAGACACATGTCGCTCACTTTAAATACATAATAATAAAAAAAATGAAGTTAAATAAAGTTGTTTTTCTTTTTTTTTCCCCTTACCTTTAAAGCCTCCATCTCCATTATTCCCCAAAGAACTTCGTCTCCACAGGGTCAGTGCTATGAAAAGAAGACGATTTTTCATTTTCATGTCAGCCGTTCTTCCTCCAAAGTGAAACACAGTCAATCAGCAAGATGTTGGTTGCGCATTGATAACATTTCTATCTCTGTCAAGCGTCTTTGCCAGTCCAACCTAAGATGGGTTCAGAGTGTCCCGGCCTTCCCTGGCGTCCTCGGAGCCGGCCTGGCATCAGCCCGCCCGTCAAACACAGGTTCTCTTTGTTGTGTCAGCTGCACATTGAACCTTGCAGGGGCCTCACATACACAAAGGAATGTTTGGACGGATCCATTACACGGCCCCGCACACCGCTTGTTTGGCTGTTTTACCCCACAACAGTAATCGGACATTTTAAATAGGTCCGGGAGCCTCTTGGAGGTCTCCGACACTCGATAGTCGGGGAGAGATAATGCTTTTGCGGACAATGGCATCTTTCTTTGAAGGGTGACTTACGGGAAAAATAATAACGTGTGGTGCCTCGCAAAAGTATTCGTACCCGTTTGACTTTTTTTTTTTTCGCATATTGCCGATTTACGGCGACGCACTGGACGTTATTGGGGTACAAAGTAATGTGCGGTAGTGAGGTGGGTGGAAAATTATACTCTTTGTCACACTGTTGTCTGTAAGGACCGCCAGAGCTGAACCTTACTGTACTGTATACACACAGTACGTTTGTTCAGAAATCCTTTTTCAGTGAAAGATTCTCATGACTGGAGTAAAATACCATAAGAATGTACCAGTCTTTTTAATAATTTTCTAATGACTTAAAATTATGGCTGTTAGACAATCAGATGTGACTGATGATCACTGATGATGTGATTCTTACTGTTTGTTGTGGTGAACTTTTGTGCTACATGGCTTTTTGTTCTTTTTAAATTTGTAGCCTGATATGGGGTTTAGATAAAAAAAAATGCTTTTTATTTATTTATTATTACTTTTTTTTATGGAAGAGGGTTATGCGTTTGCCTGTATGACACTGTAATGCATTGTATTTATATTAGAGTGTACCACCAAAGATCAACAAGAAGTCCTGCACAAATCACCAGACTAGTAAATAGTCCATGCAGACATTATTCTCTGTTCTAGATAAACTTATGCTGGCATTAGGTTATAAACCAAACTACTGTCCAACAACAGAAAGAGAAAAAGAATAATTCAGAGGCACATCCAAAAGGCCTCTTGTAACTCTGGAGAAGCTGCGGAGATACACAGCTCAGGTGGGAGACTAACGACTGGACTCCCTTTGGTCATGAGCGCCACAAATTCGTCTTTAATGGGAGAACGCCAAAAAAGAAAGTCATAAGACGTCCCAATGAAAGCAGACACAGCAAACAGGAGGCCACAACTGAACTTTTTTGATGAGGAAAGCTTTGTGCGGCAGAAAGCTAACATTGCACATCGCCGCAGTGACGCATGTTGTGTGTGAGGTTGGGGGCGAGAGGTGCCTTTGTTGCTTCTCTCCCTTGCATTTGGAAGAAATCAAATATGGATTGCTTAAAGTGTTAGCGCATTGATCCTGTTGTTAAAAGTTACGAGTTCGGGGCTCAAGTGGGTTTGTCTTCCCCTTTTCTGCGCATTAACATCATCTGATGTTCAAGAACAGAATGGCCAGCCCGCGAGATGCAAACTGAGCAGAAGTTGGGAGCTTTGAATTTTTTTCCCAGTTGTTGCTGACAAGCTTCTGTTTCCTTGGCCTGCTCTCTGGGGGAAGACGGAGCTCGTTTCACCACTGGACACATGAATTTTATAGAAATATACTAAGCAGCAGAGCACCAGGACACACACCTGTGTAAAACTGATCCCAGACAAGGTGAACATCTCAGTCCATATTCATAGAGCAAACTGTGCCGTTGTTCAGAGGCGCAGGATAACGCCACGGCGTCAACTCGACCTTGTTAAAGTTTGCTGATTCAGCATCTGTAGGACATCAATGACAAAACGTTGAGAAGTTTTTTGTTTCTTTGTTTTCCAGATGAAGTTTCCTGCTTCAGTGAGATGGTAGCTAAGTGAAACAGTGTTGTTATTGGTGTTATAGGCACCGATTCCTGTCATCAGTCAAAGCTAAACGCAGTTTCTTCGACTGTGAACAGTTAAGTTAAAAGTGCGTGTCGAGGTTTTTAGTGGCCAAGTCTGGATCGACGTCGACATCTTTAGAAAATTGCTCTGTACCAGTGGGTGAGGTTTGAGGTTGCATTGTCGGGTCAGAACGCGCACTCGGCAAAGACCGGATGTGCGTCGGCGAAGGTGTCCAAGGGGTTTAACGATGGTTTAAATGATTTGGTGTGATTGTGGTGTGTGTGGGTTCTGTACTCAGCTGTGTTAATATGTTTCACATTTATCCAGGGTTCTGTTAGTTTAAGAAGCTAAGCCTTTTAGTTTGATTCCACTTAGGAATAAAAGAAAATGCAAAAAATATCAGTTTGCAGGAGTGCAAAGAGGGTGGAGGAAAAAACTGCACAAATGGCAGGATACTAAAACATGCCACACACTTCAGATTTTTGTTTGTCATAAATGAAAATACATATTTTTTCTTCTTCGCTTTAGATAGATTGAACTTTGTGGTTCCAGACTTGAAAAATTTCAAGGGGCACAAATACATTTGCACCGTAAGAGCGGCTGAGCAAAGCTTGAGTTTTTTCCTCAAAAAGCAGCTCACCTCAGTTTTATTTCACATATCTGTTATTCATCCGGTGCAATTTGCATTCAGCACACAATTTATTTCAGTTCTCATGCCGCCCCTGGCCTCCACTTAACCCCACACTTTTCTCCCTGCGTGTTTGTGTCTCCAGAAAGCCACTTTGTTGTGTCTGAGCAGCGAAGCATCGCAGTGAGCAATGACTTCCTGTGAAATGTGAATGCTATTTCAACTCCGAGAGCGCAAAGGCTGCCTGCGGTTTGTCTGTCTGTTCGGTCTGTGCGTCTGCCCTCAAGTTTCCCCCTTCGGGTTGCAGAGGAAGAAGACGTTTCCGCAGACGCAGAAAGAGTGACAGTCAGGGTTGCCAGAGCCTGTCGGCAGGCTCAGCTTGACTGCAGTTTGCCACAAGAGAGGATTCAGGGTTGTTTGACAGCAGGAGGGCGCAAAGGGCACTTAAAGGTTCCAGTGGAGTACAGCTGCGCCGAGGCTTCATCCGTTGCTTCCTCCTACTCCTCCTTTTCTCGGTGTGTCTCCTTCTCAAGCTCCCGAGAGGCCTCCTTTGATCTGACTTTGGAGCTTTGGGTGAAAATCGTGACAAAACAGTTGAAAGGCCGTCCTTCCCCACAGAGTTTAGGGCCATTACCTCAGCGCCCAACGGCATTATAGAGATATTTACAGTCATAACGTAAAACCCATCATAAACTAAATTTTGAAGCACATAAAAGCTACCCCATCTGGTTTCATTAGAATGTGGTTCGACCATTCTTTTATTGTACCCTTCTCTATTTTGGGCTTTGTTTTAGCAATTACACCATCAAGCACAGAAACATTTGCATCTCGAAGCGATGCTCTTCTAAGTTTGGATCAGCTCTAAGCAGGTATAAGTAAAAGCATCCATGTGGAATATTCATGTTCAATAATTCATTTTTATTTGCATGTTAACTTCAACATTATTGTAAAACTAAAAAAAATTTATTTGGATAGATTTTATTCAAAGGTTGTGGTTAAAAATTCACTATGTTTAAATGTCAAATCAATTATAAAAATGAATTTACTCAAATGAATCAGTTACATTTTCTGAAACTGAGCTTATCTGGTTTGTCCTACCATGCTAAAAAGACGTGGTTTGCAAAACTAGTTTCCGTTATTATTAGCTCTTATTAAGCTCGAGTTCTTGCGATATTAAAACATTAAAGGAAGTCTGTCTTACTTTAGTCACGTGACTTAATATGATGAATTAAGTGGGACATATTATTTTGAGTCTGATATTAAGCTTATAACAGAATTTGTGACTCTTATTTTGAAGAAAAAATAAATTACTTACAACCGCACTCCATACCAGTAGGTGGCGATAATGCTTACCTAGCGGTTTTTCCCAACCACCATTAAGAAGAAGAAGAAAAAGCTGCAGATGAAATCTTCCTTCGGATTCTCACGAACTGCTTACCAGGGAAAGCGACTGACAACACTCAGTAAAGACAGCTATGAACGAGCTTCCACCACTTTAAAATGTTTTGTGTGGCAGGATTCGATTTGTGAACGCTATGAGAATACCGCCGCTGGCTAACTGCTAGCCGCTAACGAAGCTAATACTTGCCCCAAAGCTTCAGGATTCTTTAAAAGTAAAATTTACGATATGGTCAACCTCTACTCTTATTTACTTACACAAGAAACGGTGATTTGTAGTTTTATATTGTGTTTTTGTAACTGCCACTAGAGTCATGTTCACAGTAACGACATGTTTGATTTTTGTCTGAAATCACAACTCGCACCCTAATTGAGTACATTTTAATTGGAATTCTGAAAACCAGCAGGACTTTTTTGTGCTAAATGCAATTACAAGCTATAGCCTAAATATTTAAACTCACAAGTAAACATAAAATGGAACATAAAGTTATGTTCTAGAAACACTGACAAATAAAATATCTTCAGTCTTAAACACTAAATTTACAGATTGAGTGGTTCTTCTATATGCATTTTTTTTTTTTTAGCATGGTACAAACCACAAGAAACTCTACTAAAGTATTTTTAACAAACATTTTCAGTATGTTTTATATGTATGACAAATATATTGGATACTGACATCAGGACTTCTTAATGACTTCAACTTCCTCAGTCAAGAAAAATATTATTCA